GCTCTGCCCAGAGCCAGAGGCAGACCTGCCCCAGGGCAGCAGTAGGCAGAGCAGAGCAGCATCCGCATCTCCGACGGCCCCGCTCCCACGGACACAGGTAGCCTGACAAATCATCCCACGCGTATCTGCCCCATACGACCTAACCTGCTTGCGGACGGGGACCAAGTGCCCAGACCCAGCTGTGGACTCGGGATGCGACCCATCCAGGGGAGGGGAGCCAGGAACGAAGGAGCCCTGCACAGCACCTGCTGGCTCGTGGAAATCTACACATGGCAACTATGGGCACCTGCCTCCCACCCCGGACATGCCTGCGGGCAGAGAACGGCGAGCTGCCCCGGCTCCAGGGCTCACAGCACCAACGCATTTACAGACACTGAGGGCAGCCAAAATTAACCACCAGCAATGCTAAAATTTTCTATTACGGCTCTGGAGTTCATTAAGCTGCTAAGTTTCATTCATACACACTGCGCTGAAACACCGGTGCCCCTGGGTGAGCCAGAAGGTGGACAAGAGATGTCGATGTACACCCTGATAAGCTGACAGGACAGCAGCAGCCCTGGGCGGTCACTGTCATCTCAGGTTTTGAGTCGCACTGAAATTGAGACAATTTCTCACAGCCAGGATGCAGTACGGGGCTCCTGTCTTACCGAAGTGCCCCAACGTGTAGCCCATCAGGTGAAACACAGCAAGTGTGCCGTGCTTTCCTGAAGTATCCAGTGATGTGCTCATCCCACCCACGGCCTCTCCTGCAGCCACCACAGCTTTCCTACCAAAATACCCATCACCTCCACAGACTGCCTGCCTCAAACGCTGGAGCAGAAGTGTCAAATACTGGAGTGTGGCTGCTCCAGGCAGTTGTCGGAGGGAGCAGAAGCGCTGCCGTCCCGTGAGCTGCACCAGGGTCCCAGCCCACCACCACCAGCACACCCAGCAGCTGATGCCCTTGGGAACACACCCCAGCAGAGCTCAGGTTTCCCAGTTAAAGGAAGATGCTGGCAGGGATTAGGACCCCAGCATGCTGGTTCTATTTTAAAATTGGATTAGGAAAATAAAAGGAAAACCAAAACAGAAGAGCCACCAATAATCTCTCAGCCAGGAACCAGCACTAACACTGAATACGGGGAGTAAAAAGCAAACTCTAAATATCTAAAGACAATAGAAAATTCCTCCTCCCAGCCCTGCTTGTCAAGTCCTTATGCAGCCTCTCTGCTTGGCTGCGGTCAATAGATCACTCTCTGAGGAACCACCAAGTCAGAGGTCGTCTGCCATAAACTCACACCTCTGCCCGCTCCGGCTCATGCCGGACCAGAGCAGCTCCCCCCAGGGCAGGGGCAGGAGCCCTTCTCCCCAGGGCAGTACCCATCCTGAGCCACCCCGAGAGGAGGCAGCTTCAGGAGTTTCCTATGGGAAGGGCACTCTGCTCCCCAGCATGGTCAGGGCTCTGTACAGCCTGAACAGCATCGCCAGCCTCGCTTGTTGGCCATTCCTAACAGGGCCGGGCAGTGCCAACCCACTTTCCCCAGTGCCCTCCGTAGCTTTTCCTGGTAATGCTGTCAGAGGAGCCCTGTGCCCATGCCATCCCGCCTGCCTCTGCTCAGCAAGGCACCTCTGCAAGCATCGTCCCTGGCTAGTTCATGGAGATAGCTCCGAGTCATCCGGCGGGGCGCTTCCGCCTCGTTACCATCAGATGAAAGTTCAAGTGCCATTTCACAGACAGGACAAAGGCTCCGTAATGGCTATTTCACTTTCAAATACCTACATGCCTCTAGCTCAGCTTTAATTAGTTTTAACTCCAACAAATACTGGCAATTTAAATATAAACCAGCAAAAAATATTTAAACGGAGTATGTGTTTATTAGCCGAGGCATTTGCTGTGCAAAAACTCCAGTTTTTGTTGCTAGGAGTATTTGGTGTGCAGGACTGCTGGTAACGGGATTTTACTCCAAGCCCTCTGTTGTGTTTTGCCACGAATTTGGGGTGCTACGTGGTGTGAACAAAGCTTGGAGGAGAGCAGTCGTGCTTTGCAGCAGCAGCAGCCACCTGCGGTAGTGTGAGCTTCCCCGGGCCACCACACTGGGCTGAGCGGCCCTGGCCAAGGCGGCTGCTCTGGTTCATCCCTGGCAAACCCCGGCACAGCACTGACCGGGGCATGGGGCTGCCATACAGCACCTCCACATCGGCCTGGTGCACACGTATATCCCCAAGCTAGACACACCACGCAGCATCCTGCACAAGTCTCCACAGGCTTCAGGTCCGGGGCAGAGGACGCTGCTACACTTCTCCCACAGTCTCATCGTAACTCATTAGTAAGCGCAACACCATGTGCACATCACCGCAGGGAAACTGCACCTTACGGGAGCTGCAGCTTTTCGGCTCCCGGGAGCTGGGCTTAGGGCCAAGGAGGCAAGAAGAACTACACAAGCACCATGAAACAAAACAAAGCTACAGTGAGAGATTCAAAATGACGGCCAAGGATTACCTGTTCATCCCTGGAAGGTTACCCCAGAAGTAGCGCGCTTGGTGGGCAGCTGTTATCTTGATAGCATCAATCATAACTGGGTTACACTGCAGGCCACAAGAGGGGGAAAAATAAAAGTTAAGAGAAGTGTGGGCTCAGCCCTGTCCTGCACGGAGAGCCTTCTCCACTGCACTGCAGGGACTTCAGCAAATCCTCCTACGGATGCAGCCCCAACAAACCCTTGTTCCACACCAGAGCACAGTCCGATCAGCCACATGGGCTCCCACGCCATAGCCATGGCCAGCAGCTAATGAAAATCACAGCACGCTTCAGCGCTGATTTCTCTGGGCCAGGATGAGGACCATCAGCGTCTGACGGGACTTCTACACACAGGGATCCCTGCTGACCCACAGCCCATCTTGGCTACCACAGAGTTAAAAATCCTTTCCAGTCCCTGACCTCTCTCTCCCTAGAAACAACAAGCATTGCTCTGAACAGATGCTTTCTGCAAGGCTCGCAGAAACCTGCCCCCGGAGAACCAGGACTCAGGGTTAACCAGCTGAAAGCCAGAGGGGATCCAGAGCCAAGACTAAAAAATGGATTCCTGGCATGTGCATCAATCAGGCAGGGGGTTTTCCAGCATCAGGGCCATACAAAACCACAGCCAGCCCCTCACAGCCTCGGCACACCTTGCACAGCCCAGCAAGGGTCTCCCGCTCCGACACCTTTCCCAAAGCCAGCAGCAATCCCTACCTCCAGAAACCGAGAAATGTCCCTCTTGTCGTTGACCCTCATGGCCACCACGTTCTCGAACATCCAGAAGAAGGGGCGTTCCTCTCCCGCCTTGGGACGGGCGTAGTTGAGCAGGTGGTAGAACTCGAAGAACAGCCTCCCGGTTCCTTCTGCAAGGGAGAAGGTGACAGCGGCAGGTTGGGACCAGCTGCGGCACGGGGGCACGGGTCCGGGGGCCCTGGCTGCCCTCCCCACCGCAACTGGCATGGAGACAGGCTGTGCTTTGCAGGTGCCACCCTGTGATTTGCAGCTCAGAGAGGAGCAACCACCATCGCAGACAGGGGCTGAACCACTTCCCTGGACATTAAGGTGGCTCCGCACCCCAGGAACACCCCAGGGGCACCCAGCCCTGCAGAGGCAAAGCAGCCTTACCATATAGCCCCTTCCTGGCTGGACTGACAAGGGAGAGGTCGTTACAGGGGCTTCCACCGATCACCAGGTCAAAAGGACCCCACTCCTCGATCTAGAGCGAACAGAGACCCAGTTAGGAGACACCACGTAAGCGGGTCTCTCCTCCCTCAAGCCCGTCCCAGGGCTGGTGGGGCAAGACCCAGGTGGCCATAGTGCCACATTCCCCAGCCCTCCCGCAGACGTGGTGCTCACGTTTCTCTTGGTTATGTTCCTGACGTCATGCACGTAGGTGATGTTGCCCTCATGCCGCATGGTGCCCTCAGCAATGGGGTCTTCGCAGATCTCCGAGGCAATGTACTTCTCCACTTGGATGCCCAAGTCCTTCAGCACCAGGTACCCTGCCAAGGGACAGAGGTCTGAGGCCGCACTGCTCTCTTTAGTCTCCCAGTCTCCTTCATCAGCACAGAAGCTCGATGTGGCCACTCTTGCATGTCCTAGGTGGGTGCAGTCACATAGGACTTCTGGATGAGCAAACTATTTTTTGACCCATTCCTCCAGGCAGGCTTGCTCCCAGAGAGCAGAACTCCAGAGCTGAGTGAACCGAGTCAAACCAGTTGCCCTTCTCTGCCAGAGGCCCGGTTACCAGCACTCCCACAGCTCTGGCTTCTCAGTGAAACCAGCCACCCGAGATGGCACTCAGCGCAGCAGGAACCTCTGTGAGCAAAATTCCCACGCCCTCCCTTCATCCCTCCCTCCTCCACAGCCCTGTCCAGCAGGAAGGGGAGCCCTCGCCCTCATCCCTTTCTGATGGGCATCCCACCACCCTTCGTCCCCACCAAGCTTTCAGAGACGGCGTTGAGGCCACAAAACTATTGATCCCCGACACCCAGTGCTGCAAGCCGCCAGGACAGTGCTCTTCCAGTGCCTCCTCACCTGTTGCTATACCATCGAATAAAGAGAGCACTCGAATAGGTCTCCTCTTTGCTGGTGGGACTGTTGGGTAGATTTTGGGTGCAGCCTGCAATGAAGACAGCAATGAAGCCCCAGCTCTGGGCAGTGCTGCAATGCTCTACGAGGCCAAACCTCGGCTCCACAGGCATCACCTCTGATGGCAGGGGAGCACCTGTGGGGCCAAGAGCCCAGCACCCTTGGAGAGCGTGGATGAGTAGACCAAGGCAGAGGGCCAAGGAATTCTGAGCCGTTCGCCATGCCCTCTGCAGCCCTCTCCCCCAAAGCCCAGCGCGCTGGGCTCGCTTGCCCACAGCCCTTACGTATTCCTGTCCCTTGTCGCTGGTGAAGAAGTCCTGCAGGCGGGTGTTCCAGTCCTGCCGGCGCAGCAGCACGCCATAGCTCCTCTGGGGCTGGCACATGTAGCAGTTCCAGGGCTCCTGCTCTTTTGCCTTGGCCGATGTCCCTCGCCCCACCAGCACCTCCAGACACTCCACACAGAAGCACCTGCCCAAACCACAGCAGCTCGTGCCTGTCACCTCCAGAAACCCCTCTGGGTCACCCCAGCCTCTCCCGGGGTCTCCCCTGCCATGCACTGGAGCCCCTGCCCTGTTTTGCAGGATGTTTTTCCAAGCAGTACCCTGGTTTTTAGGGCTGCTAAAAACACAAGCTGGTCACCTAGGTGTGGGTAAAACTCCTGCCAACTTCCCCGGGGCTTATTCAGGAGAAGCCTGGCTCAGCAGGGATGGGTAGGCTGTGCTGGGACGGCATGGCAGCCAGCTGGGAACCAGCACAGCACCCTGCCCAGGCTGACGCACAGCCCTGCTTCCCTGCAGCTCCCCGGGAGCCGTGCTGGGAGTTCAGCCCCAGAGACGGAGACGCGCGGGGCCCCCCGGCAGCAGCTGGCAGTGCTGCAGAGCAGCAGCTCCTTGCCTTCGCAGCAGACGGTGCAGTAGGACTGGTAGCCATCTTCATCGTACATGTAGAAGAGCTCCAGGAATCTATCCTAGCGAAAGGACAGCCAGGAGGAGAGAAGGACAGAGGATCGGGATCTGTGCTCAAAGAATGAAGAGGGAACGCAGCTTTGCTCCATCCCTGGCATACACCGAGAGCTCGGAGATGCACATCCTCGGTGCTTCAAGTGGAGAGAACACACCAAGGGACACAGCCACGGGGCCAGGATCTGGCGCAGTCACCCCTCCTGTCCCAGCAGCGCTGGGTGCAGCGGGGATGGACTCCGCACCCCATCCTCCGGCCCCAGGCTCCCACTCAGCCCCGGACCGGCAGCCGCTACCCCATGTCTGGCAGAGGCCCCCCTCGAAGAGCGGGTGGAAGGTGGCCGGATTTCTCCTCCCGCAGGACAAACAGCTGTCTGTGTGCCAGAGAGAGCTCCGCTCAGCCCGGGGCAGGCAGCCCCGTGCAGGGGGGCAGACCCCCATCCCTCCACCCCACCGCGGCGGCCGAGGCCAGAGCCTCTCGTCTGGACCACGTGCAGGTCCCGATGCGGCCGTGGCTCCCCCAGGAACGGGCCCCGCAGGGAGGATGTGCGCAGCAGTCCGCTCCGCTCAACACAAAGGGAGCCCAGCAAGCTGCAAAGGCAGCACTGTCCCCCTTTCTACAGTGGTTAAAAGGGGATCCACGATCTTTGCCTAGTGCCGCCTGCATCAGCCCCACACCTTTTCCCAAGAGAGACAGGGCAATCGATTACCTTCAAGACTCCCACTGTTGTTTGTAACTTCGGAAACCATTTGCTCTTTACAAAATAAATAGAAAAAAAAATTATCAGTCCTTATGTAACAAACTAAATGCACTCTACTTACAGATGCCTTATTTCTTGCATTAAAACCGCTACAGCTTTACTGAGCATTGCACAGAGAAGGCAGGCCATGGGCATATTAGAAATTTTGGTGCAAAACCCAAGTGCTTTCACTGCTGGAGGCAGTAGAGCTAGAGCCCCAAGCAGGAACGCTCAGACCAGTTCCAAGCTGAGCAATTCATGGAGCCCAGCCTGTGGCACCACGTCTCGCAGTTGGGTTCGCTGGTGTCTTGCGAGGCACAAGCGAGCAACACAAGACCACAAAAGCTTTTGCCTTTGGAAACCAAGCTCGTGGCCCCCCAGGAAAAGCTGAGCCCTTTCCCAGAGAGGTTTCCCGGTGCTTTTCAGGACGCACGGCCCAGCCCATGCCGCTCCCCAGCCCTCGCTGCCGCTTACCTCGGGTCTGGTCCTCTTCCACTCGCTGCTCCTTGCCGTTGTTGCAGAGGTTGGTCTTCAGCCTCTTGGTGGGGGGCCACTGCTCGAGGGACAGCACCTCCTCCGTCCCGTTCCTCAGGGCCCCGTTCTCTGCAAGGGAAAGGCGGCTCCCTGGGGA